GGTATAAGCTGGATGGTGAACATCCCTTATCGGGGGGGAGAGAGAAGTAAAGAAATTGATTTTGTAATTAATTTCTTTTTATAGTTATCCATTATATTCAAACTTTTAATAATATTTTTGTATTACCAAAATATGCTTCTCTATTATTATTATTATTATTATTATTATTATAAAATTGGAGATAATAGGTGCTTCGATCTGCTGCCAGGGGTCACCATAAAACTGGGACCCCCATGTATGAGATGTGTAGATCATGTTGGGAGGGTATTGGAACTTATTTTTGTTTGTAGGTGATACAGACTCAGAATGCTAATATGTGGAAAACATTACAAAATTTATGGTATGAGAAGAAATTGTGACCACACAATCTCCCTTCTATTAGCATACATACCACTTTATTCTCACATGCTCTAATTACTTGGCGTGAATCCGGTCCAACCCAACCTGAAAAAGCAAGGTTAGGGTTTTATATCTAATTATTTGACGTGACCTAACTTGGAAAAAATTAGGTTGGGTTGGATCATGGGTCACCAGCTGACCTGATTGCTAGGTTTAATTGGGACTATTTATGTATTGTTAGAAATTTCCACTTGTTAATCTTTACTCTTTAGTCTTTACTGTTTAGTACTCTTTGAATTGTTAAAAGTTTTAAGTTTTTTTTGTTTTCTGTTGGAATTTCAAAATTAATTCCTTTAACTTTGGCATTTTTATGTTTTTTTCTTTATTTTTAAAATTTCAATTATTTTTAGGGATGACTCGAATTGATCAATAGGTCAATCCTAACCCGAGCATTTAGGGTTAGGGTATAGCTGCATTTGCTGACCCAACCCAATTGCTAGGTCTATTGATGATGGTATTTTCTTGCTGATTATCGAGAAATCAGTGATTGTTGAGAAATCATAAAAAATTATTGTTTGATATCATTTATGCTTGATTTTGAATCTATTTGGTAGTGATTCTCAAGCGCCAATTACTTTTGTATTAGAGTTAATTGTTACTCAATGCCTTGTTCGATGTCATGCCATCCTCAAAAAATCTTAAAAATCAAGAAATCACCAGAAAAAAATAATCCCGGACAAGAAAAATGATTGATTCAATAATTGACTTTTGGCTGATTTCCCAGAAAATGACAAAATCGTACAAATAATAGAAGTTAGCTTAATCTAGGCTTCAGAGTAACCGTTTCCTCTAACAGTGCAGGATTTAAGAATCCTGGGATACACGACCATCTTTATGGTCTACAAATAGTACGAGCATGAAAAACTAAGACCCGCTGGCTCCTGAGATGCTTGTTTCCTTAAAGGGAAGAGTGAAGGAGATAACCACATCGGTTAGATCGCGCAAAATACCCTTACAATCGACAGTCAGGCATAAAAATGTTGATTTGCCAACGGATTTCCTGCCCACAACTCTCTACTCACACTCTACGTCTCTACCCGCCTTGTATTGTGAGATGTGTGGTTGGTTGCAATCTAAGGTAGTAGAGTGCGAGCGAGTAAAGAAAGTGAGTAGGAAATCTGTCCACCCAGATTCATTTTTTTTTGGTGCATCTCCATTATTCACTAAATGGGTTGGAAATAATTTGATTTGAGGTCAATTCGTTCAAGTCGAATTCGAACGTCCATTTAACCATATTTGGAACAGATTACAAAAAATAAAAAAGAAAATGCGATTCATTTATTAGTTAGATCGAGATTTCGATATTGATTGATTTGATCCACCATATTTGGAACAGGTAAACATAAGTTTGTAGATAGATAATATATGAGTTCTTAACTTCTTATTTTATATTATATTGAACCAGATTTGAATGGAATATTTGAATATATAAATAAATTGAAATTGAAATTATGTTTCTTAAAAAAAAAAGATCGATGAATTTGGATATACCTCATTTGAATTCAATTAGATCTGGCTTTCAGCCCTAAATTTCAAGTTTGAACATTTATTTGGACTGGCCGAGATCCGTCAAATACCCAGAACGGATCGTTGATCCTTTTGAACTAGGAAGATTAGAAAAGAGTGCAAATTAGATTCATTTGATGGCTGTGTGTTAGCTAGGGGCTGTTTAATGTGGGGAATTATTATTATTTGGTTAAAAGTAAACAGCCCTTGATTCAGCCATCTCGATCTCAACTGTAGCTAATTAATCTGGATTCAGTAGAGGGATGGGCTTCCATATGTGGCTGTTTCACCTGGCTTGCTGTTTCTAGAAAATTCATTTTAATTGTTGTCTTAATGGAGAAAATTTCACTTATTGAAGGACGGGCTACACAAGCGTCCTTCCCAGTTCCCACCGAGTACCCCAGTGATGGACACCTGATCGGTATTGATTGATTAACCTTAAAATTGGACTAGCAAAATGGCCCAATCTTTTGTCTGTTCTAAGGTCTGGTTTGTTTGTAACTCTTCCCTTTTTCCCCATTTATTTATTCACACTCTAGTAATAGCTACCTCTTTCAATCCTCCTCGGCTCAGAATACTCTCTTAAATGAGCGGTTACAAGTCAATTCGACTCTTATGGTTCTTCAGAGTGGGCACCCTACCCTTAAATGTGGGACTCATTCAATGATGTCGGGTTCTGAATCTTGGTAAATCTAACACTATAAGCAATCCAACCAAAAAGCAAATTACGTGGTGTTTTTGAATTTGGATCAGAATCGTTATTCGACGGATGATGACAAAATTAATTAACTTGGCGTGATTATGGAAGTCGCCAATTTAAGGGTGAGTTTGGTAGTCGTTCGGAACGATGCCCTTTGAAGAGATGCTTATTCTTGAGCGTTTTCTCAAAAACACTCTTTTCGACGTTTCCAATCTTCTTTTTTTTTTTTTTTACTATTGCTAACTAACAAGGAACAACAATATAGTGATATGGCACTGAAAAACGATCAATGATCCAAAAGAAGCATTTTCTCGAAAAACAACAAACCTACTCAGCACCCGTGCTGAAGAAACAGCACCGATTCCAAACACTGTGTGTAAATCATAATAAGGGTTAGGTCAAGCATTAGAAGTTTTAAAGCAACTATATACCTTCCACTGGGTCTTTCAGCTAAAAAGGAATAACAGATGCGACAATAGTCTCTAGACAATAGCATTATTTTCCGAAAATAGAATAAAAACGAACGCTTATTGTAAACACGAGAAGTAAAAACTAAAAAGAATTACATATATACAAAAGGAAGGAACCGAGTTGTTTCCTAGCTAAAATATGTTTAATAAACTTTAAGTACGTAAATGGCCATAATAATCTACTTATAAGTAGTCATTAAAATTTTCATTTGTCATTTTATTAGGTTCTTTGAGAATTTGTAACTGAATTTGCTGGTTGGCAGAATTAATAGTCAGTAATTAAAGTATATGTTTGGCATTGATGTTGTAGTTGCAGTATCATTTTGTGTTGTTGATGTGTGGGTTGGAAGAAAATGGTGCATTTTTTTTGTTTGGAATTGTTACTGCCAGGTAAGATGTTTCGTGGAGCAATAACAAATTTTTCTATTTGGTACCAATGCTTCAGAAAATGTTTCTTATACTTTTACCCATTATCCAATACCACATCACTGCCTTGTTGGCAACAATGAGGTGCAGCTCCAGAAAATGCCAAATTTAGCGTTGCTCCAAACCATGTCTTCCCAATTTCTAAGTCATGGCTTGGAATACCATTTTCTATGAAAAAATAATTTCAATTAGATGGTTATTTTTTGGAGCACTGTTTTCTTATGAAGAGCAGCACATAGTCCTTAGCTAGTTTGGTTAGTAGACAATAAAAAAAATACGTCTCTTTCCACGGTACAAACTACAAATAAAAAGAGAGGTGTTAATTCCAAAATGCACAACTTGATCAAGGTGTTAATTCCAAATTCCCTGTTTCTTAGCAAGATAATTGACATCTTTGAGAGAGAGAGAGAGAGAAAGAGATGGGTCCTCTCTTTGACGGTCAATGTTACTATTTAATTGGTGGTCCCATGAGAGGCCGGATCTCCTGTTCACATTTATCACAGTCACACATAGAGAACATCTCATCATCTACGGGGAGAAGTTCCCACTTCACGGAGGGGTAATATGTTGTGGGTTCTCATGGGCAGGAGACCCGAACTCGTCCCATGCATCCCATTACTGATTTTACCAATTTTGGAACTCTTTGACCAGAAGACGCGTGGTTGACAGAATTTGATAAAGAGGGGTATTATTACTGCATACCTGGCAAATTGGCATTGAATGTGTCATACTATCATCTATGTATGGGGTATGGCTCACAAAAAAGGAATCCTTTGTTACACACTCCTTACTGTGATGAGCTTGACGGTGTGTGAGATGTGAGATGGGACGGGGCATTGAGTTGGTTGGAGAGGTTCTAATTCTATTCTATCTCATTTTAAAATTTAAAGATGAGTTTCTTTTTCCTCTTTTTTTTTTTGTAGTTTTTTACAAAAATAAAAAGAACTGTTCAAATTCATCTTTCTCTTGGAAACATACTTGGGGAGAATTTAGAAACTACGGCGAGCTTCCTTAGAATTTAGAGTTCTTCTTATATCTTTAAAAAGAGAAAAGCGGCAAGTCTTTCTTTCTGGTTTATGAATTGTGATGTAAATATATTGCATCTCATGTGGGGTTTAAATTTTATGAAATTGACGTCAGAAAAATGTTCCCCTTTCATGTGCATTGTGCGGAACCCATCGTTGAGTCAGTTGTATTGTTGTAAACTTGTAATAGTCTAATAGATGCAGATTGCAGCTTGCAGGGAAGAAATTACCACTTCATCAATCCTCAGTATTTACTATTTAGTATCTCCTCCTGTAGATTAAAAATTAATTGACTTCTTTTTTTAATTAAATTTCTTTAGTTTATTTACATTTACACCGAGTCCAGACTCTAGACTCTGGAGTCTCCCAGCCTCCCTCCACGAAAAGGAAGCAAGATACGGAACCAATGTGAAGCCAACGACTTTAGCTTCTAACACTTGACTTCGCGTCCCAGCCAGCCACCCAGCCAGCCATTTTTCTCGAGAACGTGGGTTCAAAGCCAAGTAGAAATCCCTCCCTCCTTGAATCTGACTTCCTCTCTCTCTCTCTGTCTCTCTTAAAACCCAACACCCCCCTCCCTCCTCTCTAGCAACCACACCACCATGCCCAGACCAACACCCCTTCACCTCCTCCTCTCCCTCTCTTTCTTCATCCTCTCCCTCACCTTCACGAATGTTGCTGCTACTTCTCAGCAATTCAGAGAAGCCCCAGAATTCTACAATTCTCCGGAATGCCCTTTGATATTTGTTGACGAAGATGAGGGCAACAACAGCATCGTGTGCTCCGATCACGTAGTCCACGTCGCAATGACCCTCGACGCTGCCTATCTCCGAGGTTCCATGGCTGCCATTCTCTCCGTCCTTCAACATTCCTCTTGTCCTCAAAACGTAGACTTCCACTTCGTCACTTCCGCCTCTGCCGACACTGACTACCTCCGCCGCACCATCGCCAACTCGTTCCCTTATCTTCGATTCCACCTCTATCACATCGACGACTCCGCCGTATCCGGCCTCATTTCCACCTCCATACGGGCCGCCCTCGACTGCCCTCTCAACTACGCCCGCAATTACCTCGACAACCTCCTCCCCTTGTGCATACGACGAGTGGTTTACCTCGACTCGGACCTAATCCTTGTCGACGACATCGCTAAACTCTCCGCCACTCCACTCGCAGATGAGGCAGTCTTGGCTGCCCCAGAATATTGTAATGCCAATTTCACGTCTTACTTCACGCCGACGTTTTGGTCGAACCCAGCTTTATCCTTGACGTTCGCAGGTCGCAAGGCATGTTACTTCAACACGGGCGTTATGGTGATCGATCTCGAGCGATGGAGAGCAGGAGATTACACCACCAAAATTGAAGAATGGATGGAACTTCAGAAGCGAATGAGGATTTACGAGCTGGGTTCATTACCGCCTTTCTTGCTGGTGTTCGCCGGAAGCATTGCTCCCGTTGATCACCGGTGGAATCAGCACGGCCTCGGGGGTGACAATTTTCGAGGACTTTGCAGGGATCTTCATCCAGGCCCTGTAAGTCTTTTGCATTGGAGTGGGAAAGGTAAACCATGGGCTAGATTGGACGCGAATCGGCCATGCCCATTGGACGCCTTGTGGGCTCCTTACGATCTCTTACAAACTCCTTCCGCTCTTGATTCCTGAAGGATGCGAGAGTGCACGAGAGAAAGAAAGAGAGAAAGAGAGAGGACGAGGGGGAGAGACAAGTAAGATAGAGACTAGAGAGAGACACAAATTAAGCTTGGGAGGTGGAATTTGTTTCGTTTTCGCAATATTGGCTAATCTCTCCGGCGCATGTTAGTCATAGGGACGGCGAACAGTGGAGAATTAATTAACTACATATCTACATTAGATTTGAAGCGGTTCGGTAAACAGAGCCTGATATCCGACGTTGCAGATCTCGTTATTTCTCCTCCCTGTCTCCCTATCTCAGGTGTTTTATTGCAGGTCAGAGGATAGTCCATGGGGATTTTGTCTGTAAATCATATCGATATTTACAGATGTTTGAAGAAGCTTCTCTTTTTTTGGTTCTGCAAGCAACTGCAAATGCAGAGACTTAGAGTTACAGTACAGTGCTTATAGAAGAGGGCAAATAAAAAAAAAAGGGAATACTAAATTGTTCCATCTGTATTCAATGTAGAGTTAATTTGTAGAGCGAACGAACACCATTTTGCTTTTCCCTTTTTTTTTTCTGACTTCATGAATCATGATTTATTTGTTCATGAAACTCTCTTGTAATAAAACAGACAAATAAGATATGAATAACATCTGGGATTTTTTTTACAGGTAATTTGATTTGTCCTTTTTCTTTTAATAATATATATATGGATCGAGTATAGAGTATAGACTATAGACTTTTCTCTGCGCGTCTTACTATTGTTTTTTGATCATAAATTTATAAAATTGGAAAGAATAAATTAGCCTGATTTGAATTTGACACTTACAGTTTTAGTTGGCGGGGAGGGGACTGATTTGCCAAATGCCAACTGACGAAAGACTAGAACGTGTTTCAGTAATTCATTTCCCCCAAATAGAAAGAGAGAAAGAGTGTATATCTTATTATTGAACTTTATAACATAAAGAAATTATCAGTCTACCGGAGACATCAGATTCAGATGGCTGAGATGATTTAGGTTTTACGAATATGGGATCTGGTCTCTCATTGCGATTTGCGTGAGTGAGATGGCCTAGAGCGTCAACATTTACGGGTATGGGATGGGCCTGCTCAACGATTTGGGTCACAGCTTTCAATCCAGATTTCAGATGCGACTGTGATAAGATCTGTGAATTAATTAGGCTTTATTAATCATCGTTTCAGTTTTCTTAGACACATGATTAAATAAGTGTTGCATATATTTCGTTATAAATAAGCTGCTGTTCGAATCATTTCAGATTTTTTTTTTTTTTGGTTCTAGAAAAACTACTGTATACTTGTTTTATATTTTGATACATTGATGAGATTTAATATATATTGTCAATTAAATCCCAACTATTTTCTCATAAAATATGTAAAGGACGACTTTCCCCCAACTGGACCAAATAGCCAATGGGGAATACTGAAAAAGTATAAATTGAGTATTTTAATCTATTTTTGTTTCATTTCATTATTAAATTATATTAAAAAAAGGAGGAAGACGAAAGAAAAAAAAAAAAAGAAATCCATTTGAACAGAGTCGGACGCTGTAATAAGCTTTACAGGGTAGGATATTCGTTTCTTCATCACGAATCAAAACATGGCAAGTAAGTAAGGTGTGTAGTGTCTCTCATTTTAATGTGACACCCCCCCCCCCCCCCCCCCCCCCATGTGCGGGGTATTATCATATATGTATGGGCTAAAAAGTTTCTCAAAACACGAAGACATCGCACGTGCCTCACAAGCCACATGCTCATTCACTAGCTATTTGAGATTTGAGAGCGCGCCTACCGCTTACGTAATCCAATCGGATGCCTACGTGTTTGTCGCTCATTCAACGCAACTAAACAGATAATAATAATAATCACAATAATATGATTATTATTATTATAGGGCAAAGGAAACTTCGAAGCAAGGAGTGATCAGCACGGCACCGGCACCCGGCAGGCGCTCCGGCGCTCTTGAGTCTTTGACATTAAATTTTAATGAGAGTGCTCCCATCGCTCAACAACGATTGCGCAATGCAATTGTTTGATCTAAGAAGTAAGAATGGTATTGAGTGGTGCGGGACACGCCCATTGATGGACTGGTGAAATTGAAATGGACGATATGAAGCCAAATGCAATTATCTCTTGTTCCTCAAAATAATGGTTTCTGCTCTGAGAAAGATAATGGAATGAAGTTCTAACGTGAAGTCCTGGTTTTCTATTTAGAGCTCGGATCTCCTGTACACAAAAATCCTATACATTAAGAATATCTTACCTATTTACATGTTATGATGATGTACAGCTCCATAGGTAGGAGATCCGGAATTTTCTATTTACGTTACACTGAGTCAAATACAAAAGTGTCGGTGGAAAACAAAAAAAGGTGATTAAAGGGAGAATGGTATAGAGAGAGGAGAGATTGAGCGCTAACGCTCCTCTCTCTCATTTATCGTTTGTCAAAAAGAGCGGAACCATCGAATTGAAAAGATGGGGTCAATTCTATTTAACACGTGGCAAGTGCAATCTATCAAGAGGTTTTCCAGTACAGAAGTACGGACTTGAGATTGGACAAGGAAGGGGGAGAGAAAGTCCTTGATATGACGTGGGTCCCCCCAAAGCGATAGAGAAACATATTGTAGTATACGCGGTTCTTAAATTTTTAGATATATGCTCTCTTTTTTTTTTTTTTAAGCTTTTGTTGGGTAGTTTTTTTAAGCTTGAACTTTTATGCTCCTTGTCGCCTCTCGTCACTTGCAAAAAATAAAAATAAAATAAAATGATTGATCAGTTCAGTTCAAAAGTTTTTAATTTTATTATAACCGTGGATTGATACCAAATCAATGAACAGGATTAAGGAAACTTGTGTTCAGAATTGTATATTGGATTGCAATGTAATTAACCCACCAAAATTATATGTATATGAATTTTGCATCAGCTTCAACCTTCAATTTGCCTGCTCCTGACATTTATATTATACTTGTACAAACAAAACATACTTTTGGATTGACTGAGAACGTACGACTTTCAACTTTAACGTTATTTATTTCCAATACCAGCACTATATAGGAATTAGGCATATAGCTGGCTAGTTTTACTTTTCAATTATTAAGAGAAAAAAAGTTTAGTTAATATTAATATTAACATATTACGTAGTAGGTCACTTGTAAAGCTAAGCATGCATATACTTCCATGTTTTATTTACCGTTGAATCGTAACAAGTAAGACAAATGTGGATATGAATTTGTTAGGCATTTTCGCTTTCAACAATTACTGCTGTTAAATCATTCTATTAATTCCTTTTATTTGCCTCTCCACTAATTAATGCACTACTTACTTAAGCTGTGTATGCGAGGATCCTTGCTTTGGCTTCAGGCGAGGAGTACGTCCCACAGTATATCTCCGCCCTGAATTCGGAACAAACATCTTCCAATGATAGTATTAAAATCGACATCATCTAGAGATGTTTCTAATATATGGCAGAGATGTGCTGTGAGAGATTGTGGGGCGCAGATGTGAATTTTCGAACAAAAAAGAGAGAGAAAGAGGAATGAATAGATATTATTTCAATCTTCAACCGTAGGAATATGGATGAACTTACATTTCTTTTCTTTTTAATTTTATTTTTTTGGCGCTTGAACAGGTTATGGACGGAACTTAATTTTATTCATAGAAAGTTGAGTCTGAAAATTGTTAATTTGTTTAAGATGTTTTCATCTGGAGAGGTTTCTTAGTTTTGGAGCAAAGTAGTTGAAGGACGGAAACTTTTGGAAAATGATGAGACAATGAAAAAGTCGTACGAGTGAGTGAGTAGTGGGCAGAGAGATGTCCACTACTCATTTTTCTGAATTGGAAGTTTATGTAGCTATAGTCCTAGATTAGCTCTCATAGTGTAAATGCAATTATCAATAATCTTTAAGAAGTAAATGTAATTAATTCATAGTATATTTAAAATACATTTATTTTTCGTACAAATTATAAATTATATAATATAAATATTATAATCCTTGCTTATTAATGAAAAATAAAAAAAAAAGTGTGTTGTAATTTCACTTTCACTCAATAAAGTCTGTGCATCGCAGGGGTCTCTGCTGGTTGCTAAATAAAAAAATGGATGTGAAAGCCCGTGCCCCCACATCGGCATCACCATTCACTTAACGAATGGTGATTGATGTGTGAGTCTTAACCAATTGTATTTCCATCCTCTATATATGTTTTAAGCAACTCTATATCCAGTGCCACTACTCTCTTATTCTCTTATTTTTTAGCTCTCCATCATTCACATGCCATGCATGTTTTTCATCATTTATATATATATATTACTTGAGGGAAGATAAAGATATGATGATCAATTAATTAACATTTGCAATGTATTTAATAGAGAACAAAAACATCGATCTATCTGTTGCCACTAAGGCACTAACTAAGCCACATGGTTTAATTATGACTCCTATTAAGTACTAATATAAACATTAAACAACCGATCGACGATGGACGAGATTATGCATTAATTCTTTAATTTCTAATTGCCAAAAAAAAAAAAAAAACAAATAATCCATGGTTTAATTCGATATGATGCAAGATATATAAGATAGATAGTACGTACTCATACGAATAAGTGCATAGCAGTAGTGGGGTTGAGAATTAGACCACCGTTGGATGTATGAATATGACCACATTAATTAATTAATTGGACGGTCACTTCTTCTGGATCTGTTGACCATCCAACAATTGGATGGTCACATTCATTTGACGAGGTGGACCTTGGTTATTATTAGGGTTTGGGGTGTACGTAACTGGTCCACATTTTAGAAATTAATTCCATTTCCATACCCGAAATTTAATGGGTTGTGGAATTTGGACTTGATCGGTTGTGCTTGTGCTACTGCTTGTGATGGTGAGAGATCCAATTTTAAAGTTTAAACTTAGTTTGATCCGGAACAAGCGGATATATTTGGTGAGATGAGCAAAAATTTAGTAAAAGAAATATGGCAGGCAGATGGAACCAACTCCAATTCATGATCCCAGGCCGCACCATCCGCACCTCCATCACATGATTACAAAGTTGACCCATTATACATTCAATTCAATCTGAGGAGGACCCTAATTAAACATCTCCTATCTAGTTTATTTTGCATGTACATTCAGTATTCAGTATTCATTTATTGATGCTTGCATTCAAAATGTCTGCATTGGAAACTTTACTAATGAGTTGTAATCTATAAGCTTTCAATTCCTAATTAATTAATTACTTGACCGGCATTTTGAGCAGAAACCATGTTTAATGGTGATGAAGATAGGAGGTCAGTTATCACTTATCAGTACCCTATGGAACTTGTCTCGGATCATGTTTCTATATACACTGTCGTTTTTTCATTTCTTAATTTTCTTCTTCTTTTCAAGGCAAGAGTAAAAATATATTGGTTTACAACCGTAAAAGATAAAGTAATTAATGTTTTTTACCAGAGAAATAATCCATCAAATTCTTCTCATGTTTGCTTCGACATAAAGCGTATTAACACAGTTCGCAGCTTTTTATGCCAAAGAATGGGTTCCACATTCTTTAAATCATTAAACAAGTTCATCAGTCTCTATCTTAACTTACTTTCTCAGTAGCAAATATTAGACCCCTTAAGAGGGAAGATGGATCCAATGTAGAAATAAAAACTATTT